TTTTTTTTTGAGCATCTGTGGAGGTTCACCAGCTCGACCTTGCTTGTCTCCCTCACAATACACGTGCAGCTCCAAAAGAAAACACTCTGCCAGTCATCATCGGGGCTGAGAGAGGTGCACTTTGAATTTATGTGTGTGTGTGTGGTGGTGGGGGTTTCTGGTGATTGCACCTGGGCAGACATCTCTTCCTATCCGCCTCTGGGCCCTGATGTGCAGCGCTCCCAGGGAAGGGGGAGTGTGGGAGGCGCGGTGGAGGCACCGTGATGTCCACCTCTTGTTATTCCAACCATTAACATAATAGCAACATTAGTTCCAGGGCCACGCTCGCCTGCTCCGAAGCTGCCATTGTTCGAAGGCAGCTGCCGGAGATGAAGAAGAAGAAGAAGCTTCTTCTTCCTTCTCCTTCGTGCCCTTTGAAGACACAGAGCGACCATTCACTAGCGCCGGCTTGGGTTTTGGTTCGACGGGAGGCGCTTGAATGCTGACAAATTGCTTAATGGCTTCCTTGTGATTAACGAGTGTCTGTGTGTGACGTAATCCTCACCAAATTTGGGGACCTGATGTGTTTTGAGAGCCTTCATTTCTTTGTTTATACACTCATATGTGCACCAAATCAACACTAGGACACGGTGTGGCTGTAATAATGATCACGTTTGGTGATGGACTTGTGGTGGTCAAAAGGTTCATCAAGAAAGGCTACAGAGTACTCGTGGAACCTATTTGGTGAGACGCCATAACAAGTAATGCACGCAGCGATACTTGCCTGCAAGGGACAAAGCCTGTAACTGCGGCATTGAAAGCCATCCATGTGGCATTTTCTTGGTCATTCTCGCAATTTTTTCGGTCAATACTGCTGGAAGGTCTGTCACTGATGACGCCTGTTTTGCTGACTTTGTGTCAGATGAGGTCAGTGCTGCGGGCGCATAATAGATAAATCGATAGATTGCGTGTTGTTGGAATATAAGTGCTGAATAAATCTTACATCTCTCATGTTTAAATCTACAATCGATCTGGCGCATCACTCAATAGCAACCGGTGGGAGGGCCCAGTCAACAACTTGACGTCACAGCTGTTCCTAACATGACACTGTGCATGGAAATTAACTAGGGTGATTATTTAGTCAAATTCAAGACTTGATACAAATGTGGGAACAGCAAATATTTATCAAACATTCCAATATTGCTCCCTTTGCACATCAATAGAAAAAAAAAAGCACTTTGACATTTCGGTTGTAATTCTTGACTTACAAGTGTTTCTCTAGATCAGTGGTTCTTAACCTGGGTTCGATCGAACCCTAGGGGTTCGGTGAATCGGTCTCAGGGGTTCGACGGAGCCTCTGCCATGGAGGTGAAGACACATCCGACTCAACATGTCAATTAGTTATGACATGCCCGCTTGGCCATCACTGGCTGCTGATGATCACATTACATTGCTTGTCCAAGTCGTGCTGCGGGAAATTTAGTTCGCTCAGTAGTCAACATGTGACTGTCGTGATAGGATTTCGTAAAATTTAAAAAAAAAAAAAAAAAAACTTATGCTTTGAAATTTTATTTACTTTTTTCTGTTCTTAATAAATGTGTTTTTGAAACCTTGAATTGGTAAAAAGTCATATTTTTGTTTTTCACTAATGAAGGGTTCAGTGAATGTGCATATGAGCTGGTTGGGTTCGGTACCTCTAACAAGGTTAAGAACCACTGCTCTAGATAGAGGCTGGCAATCAGATGATTTTTTTATTTTTATTTTTTGTCTTTAGGTGCGAGCCAAATACAAGTGCTTGATGGTAGTAGTTAACGTCACAAGAAGCTGCAATTTGGTAGAAAGTGAGAAAATGAAAGAAGAAAAACACTTCAAGCTGCTTATTGCCAGTCTTAGTTGAGGTTTACTGGAGAATTAAAGTGGTCATGGTAAATGCTCTGTCACTTATATACAGTAGCGCTTTTCTAGCTTTGGCACTCAAAGCGCTGTACGCTCTTTCCACATTTACCAACTGATGACGCAGCATCTGGAGCAACTGGGGGTTCAGTATCTTGCTCAAGGACACTTCGATAAAGTCGCAATGAGAGATCATGTTGTGTGCAGTGGGAAATTCCCCAATGTCAATTATTTTTGACAAAAAATAATGACAGTATTTTATCATAAAAATATATGCCAACTATATATAATATGAGGGAAATCAAATGCTCTTCCACTAGCTGACAGACTGTACTTACAGGTAGTGCTGGGTGATATGGAAAAAATATTTGATCACGATAACAATATACTACGATCTATCCATCCACCACCCCTCCATCCATCCATCCATGCATCCATCCATTATCCGAGCCGCTTATCCTCATGAAGTTCGTGGGCATGCTGGAGCCTTTCCCAGCTGTCTTCGGGCAGTAGAAGGGGTACACACTGAATTGGTTGCCAGCCAATCGCAGAGCACACACAGACAAACAACCATCCACGCTCACAATCACACCAAGGGACAATTTAGAGTGTTCAATCAGCCAGCCATGCATGTTTTTGGAACGTGGGAGGAAACCCATGCCGTCACAGAGAAAACATGCAAACTCCACACTGGCCGGGTCCTGGAATCGAACCCTGCACCTCTGTACTGTGAGGCAGACATGCTAACCAGTCCACACCATGACGCCCTACCCCGATATATTTTCAGTTATTCGATAAAAATATATACAACAAATATTGATGACTTACCTTTTCTCATTTTATTTTGAAGTGACATTAAACAGACTTATATCATATGAGAAATGCCTCCAGTGTTGCTGCTGTAGCAAATTATCAAATTTAAAAAGAAAAGAAGTAGCCCACACATATTTGCGCAATCAATCTAAACAAGAGGTATAAAAATGTTTCTGACAGAAATTGATTAAAAACTGAGATAAAAACATGAGCTGGACTGTAATACAATTTTGAGAACATTGATTGTGTAGATCTCAAAAGTCCAAATCAAAACTCAGGACCCATTGTGAAAACAAGTCACATTAGTAATACAATCTGTAATCAATATACTAGTGTATATCCATCAATTTTCAGAATCGCTTATCCTCAATATTAATTACTAATTGATAATTACTTTTAATCTTCTAGGTCACTCCTCTCAGCTGACGTACGGGACGCCGTAACATTTCCTCTTTGTCGTCTGTGTGTAGCATTATATTGTATAATTTTCTCTCCAGACACTTATTAAATTGCCTGCTATTTAGCTGCTCAAAGTTGGATATGCTATGCTTTCATGTGATTCCAGTGAGACCTCTGTGAAGCGTACTCAGTCACCCGGGCACTTTATTCAGTCTTTCATGATGAATAGCATGACATTCGCTTAGCAAGTAGCCTAGCTTCTCAATCTTTTCCTCTGTTAATTACTCCTTCTTGTATTTTTGTGAGAATGATACCTGTAAGGAGTGTGCCCCATTTGCTGCTATGGAGACTGTGATGACTGACATAGTCGGGAAATTGCACTGTGTTTATGGGCGGCAGTAGCCAGCCAAAGCTTGTTCCTAGCGAGCTGCTGCAGCCTAATTTAGCCAAGTAGCACCGATCTCATCTCGGCATGCAGACCATCCGCATGACAGTCTCCACTCAATTATAGGAAAAACCTCAAGTAGTGATAATTACAGGTTTGTTGTTGATAGTTTATTGTTTCACATGGTGCAATTCATTTTTGGGATTCACCCACCTTGTTATTTATTACATTTCTCAAGCTGTTAGATTAATTTTTGCACTGTAAATCTGTCATGTATTATGACCACGGAATGATTCAAGTCCATATGTTAAGTCTGCCACTTGGTGGCAGCTATGTCGCATGAGAATTATAAGTGTAAGCTTTCACCCATCAAATCAAGCGTCCGCTGTTGATGCTACCGCTGCATTTTATTGCAGGTGACAATGCAGGTGATAAATTACAATAGGTATGGTAGGACACAAGCAACATGATACACACTTACGTCTTGTCTTGGCAGTGTATATTGTCATATCATCCAGCTCTACTCATAGGCATATATTCTTTATCCTCTGGCAAAAATTAATAATATTACTGCTGCTCACTTTGTTGCAAAACTGTTCTTTATGTATGCATGTGTGCATGTATTATACTGCCCCTGGTGGTCAAAGCATATATACCAGAAGGAGTCAAACAACGAATGGCTAAATATCCCTAGCTACTCGCCAAACAAATCGACCTTTTGATGGTTTTTGTGCTCTTTCTGGGATCCACTAATATACCACAAGATGGCGCCAAAGCACTACTTAACAGGAAAGTACAACTTGGTCTCAAGGAAATATGCTGAAGCAATACATCTCTACGAAGAGACTAAGAACTTTATATGTCAGGGAAGAGCCAAATTTAGCCTGGGTTGTTACCGGAAATTACGAAGATATATGCGCATACACATATATATGTTTTTGTCCAATGAAGTGAGCTACAATTAAAAAAGCAACCATCTGCAAGGCCTGCATTTTTAACAGTAATGTTGTAAATTGAGATGTAAATGATATTTAAATATTTTGGGATAATAGTTTTTGGTATAGTTACGGTATAACCTATTAATCGAGGCAATTATATGGGGGGTTTTTACTTTGGTCATCTGGGGTAGGGCTTGGTCCTCATCCCCACAAAAAAGTGGGACATGACTGTATAGTATTACAGTATCTTTATTCCTCCATTTATGCCAGCGATGTATGGTGACTGGCAACAATTCCATACTCTTCCTCCAGATGGCAAAATGTAGAATTAACCTGTGTTTCCACCTGTTGCCATTTCAACATTTCATCATTTTTGTGTTCAACGAAACAGGCCCAGATATTACGCATAAATGTATTTGTGTGTTGGTTGTTTAGATCATTAGTATTTCACGCTATACAATTTTTGTGAGGTGGTTTGCCCTGAGCTATTTTCCAATATTTTGTTCTTGGCTAGCGAATAGTTAATAAAACACAGATCTTCGGGGTTTGAAAATATGTTAAAAGTCCCCCTCTACGCCTTTGCGTGGACTTACCTTGCCAAATGAAGCAGACCCCCCAGAGCGCGCGTGCCGAGCTTCCCGTTGACATGATTGCTGCCTTTCAACATGCAACTCTTTTAGATCCCAGAACTCGAGAAGCTCCTGTCAGCAGCAGACATTCACGTGACCTGTCACCATGACACAAACACACATAAAGTGGTCCTGTAATCCTACACACGCTGCTGCGGCTACTTTTTCTTTTATGTCCAGTTGTTGGCTTCCATGCTCTGGTGGCAAAAACATCAGTGGGCATGCAACATCTCCACAGTGGTGCTCTCCTCGTGAGTGTGTAGCACACAGTGGCTGGCTTCCACTCATGCATGTGGAGCAAGTGTTTGTGTGTGTGTGTGTGTGTGTGTGTGTGTGTGTGTGTGTGTGTGTGTGTGTGTGTGTGTGCGTGTGTGTGAGGAGGAGTATAATGTGATGGTGGGAGGGCGTGTGTGTGCATTTGAGGGTGAGAAAGACAGAGAGGGAGAGAAGCAGATAAAGGAGCTTTGAGAGCGTGTGTGTGTGTGTGTGTGTGTGTGTGTGTGTGTGTGTGTGTGTGTGTGTGTGTGTGTGTGTGTGTATGTGTGTGTGTGTGTGTGTGTGCTTTCAACTTCCTAAATGAAAAGCTCAAGGGAGTGTTCAGGTGCGAAGAGTGCAGTGGGGACATTTTTTATTTTTATTTTTTTACTTCCAATGTTAAAAGAGACATACTATGCATTTTTTGTGACTATTTAAAACCATTCCCAGATGTCCGAAAATGTCTCTGATATGGCTTTTCCAAAACACCCCTAGCATCGAGAATCAGATTTTTTTTCAAGCCTTTCTGAAATTAGCCTGAGCGGGAAGTCCTGTCTCAGGCAAATGAGTCACTGCTCACCATGCCGGTTTGAGTTCCTTTGGGTAGTGTACGTGAGCTCTCATAAAGACAAAAAAGTTTGGTTTGTATTTTCACTCATGGAGGCAGCACTTCCTCATAAAGCTATACACACACTGAAACTCCAATACCCAGAGAAAACACACGCAGAAACAGTGAGAACCCTGAACCTCTCTCTCTCTCTCTCTCTCTCTCTCTCTCTCTCTCTCTCTGTATATATATATAAGTGTATATATATATATATAAAATTTATAAAAGAAACTACGCACCCATTACTTAAGGTTGTATTGCTCATGCTGGACTGACCTACCTTTCCTATTTCACAGTAATTTTAATTTTCTGTTCTATGGCTAACACACATCTGTGATGGCATAAAAAATTTAAATAAGTTAACAAAGAAGCATAACATTTTAATTGCTTACTTGGCTAAAGACATTCTCAACACCTTTGTTTGACCTCTGAGGCATATTCTTCGAGACCGAAATTACTGTAATTTCCGGACTATAAACCGCTACTTTTTTCACCTGCTTTGAACCGTGCACCTTAAATAACGATGCAGCTAATTTATGGATTTATACGGGCTAACCAGCTTCATTCCGCCAATATTTGCATCCGTCCTTGGCGGTGTCCCATTTCTCAGAAGCGTTGACCTCACATCAGGGAGCAGCGACATTGCTGGGATACTCTATATAGCCCATGAGTGAACGGGGTGCAGCCTGATGTGACACCAAACCTTCTCATGTGATGTTACAAAAAGTCCCCGATATGCATCGACCATCTGCAAGACTTGCTTTGGAAAGTCCTTCTCGCTATCTGTGCAACCCACTTTTATACAAACACGACATTGGACAATGGGTACGTGTAAAAGTTCTCATCTCTCTTTAAATTTAGTGGGTGCAACATATATGTTAAGGTGCGCTCCAGTATTATACAGTAATAGTTTTGGATTTTTCATTAAAGTTTTAAAAAATGTTTTATAATTCATTTTATAAGCATTTTTTTCCCCAAAAATGCTTCATTTTAGTTTAGTTTTAGTATTTGTTTTATTTTTTCTTGGATGCAAGATTCAAACAAAATTCACAAAGTATTGTGTAAAGTAACTGTTTGACCTGCCTTCTTTTGTATGGACATACAGCAATATCAAAATAAAGACATTTAAAATATACTCATACTCAAAGCTCATATATGATATTAATTCACCAAGATGAAAACAAAAAACATGTTTGCTTTCATTTTACTCACTTTCAGTTACTTTTGTAAATATAAGATATAGTTCCAGTTAGTTTTTTTTTTTTTTTTAAGCATTTTTGTTTTATTTCATTCCGGAAAATTGTTATTCAATTTTACTTTTAGTTCTTGCAGTTTCTTTTACTATAATAACCTTGGTTCACTCAATCGTCCGGAAATTATGGTATGTGCATATAAATCACAGCTTTACTCCTTGCAAATCCACATTCACAGTCACTATTTACACAACGGCCACATATGTTCACATTTACAACCACCCCGTGGCATTAAATTACATACAAAGTTTTACTGTAGCAACATGTTCATGCTTGATAACTTATTGCCAAAATATTGCACAAAAATGTCCGGGTGGCCTTTGTAGAACTGGGCCAGCAGATGTCTCTTTTCCTTGTTGGGCATGTTGGGGTTCTCGTGGATTGTCCGTAGTAACGACCGCAATTCCTCTTTAGTGTGCGTTTCTCTGTTTTCCGAATAAGCCTTTGCGCTCTGTCTTGTGCAATACGTCGACCCTGAATTTACAGAGGGGAATGAAATACAACAATATGGGAAATAAGAGGAATATTTTTTGTGGAGATGATGTCAAATAAATGATACAATGAAGTAAGATCTGCACACCTGTTATCATATCTGCATCCTTCCCTCGAACGATATTCTTCAATCTGTCGCTGACCATCTTGTGTAGTGAAACAGGAACCTGATGGCAATAAAAAAATATGATATACATTTGTAAATTGTAACAAAGAAACTCCAGCAAATGTGTTTATTTTTTGACTATTATGTACCTGGATGTCGTGATGTATGTTACCCCATTACATTTACTTCAGTCATCGTCATTTTTGGGCTAACTTATACCTGCCAGATTTAGTTTTAATGCATCATACTGTTTTACTTACAGTATTTCCATACTAAAAGGCGCACTAGATTATGAGGCGCACCTTCAATGAATGGCCTATTTTGTCATTTTTTTCATATAGTGGACGCACCGCATTACAAGACGCAATCTACAATGCATCCAATAGATGGAGCGACGCTCAAGGAAATGCCAACAGAACACTACACTACACTACACTCTGATTTATATAGCGACAATCAGATGTCAGTCAAACTTATTTATTAAAGCACCGACACAGTTCATTTAACCAATAGCAAGTTATAACATTGACTCGTTAACGTTGAACTCTCTTGCCGCTGCTCTATTTCTGTGTTCAACTGCGAAACCAATCGCCTTAAGTTTGAACTCTGCGTCGTAAGCATGTCTCCAAGCAGCCATTTTGGGGTCGAAATATTACCATAATGATCATACACAAGGCGCATCAGATTTTAAGGCGCGCTGTGAGCTTTTACGAAAATGGAAAGCTTTTAGGTGCGCCTTTTAGTGCGGAAAATACGGTATACTTAAGTATTTTTTGCTAGGAAACAACTGGCATTTTTACTCCATGCATACTGCATGTATTTGTTGTATATTATTTACGCGCATATTATATGCCACCAATTTGTATTATTACACTAATATATTTAGTTTTAGATATTTATTATAAAATGCTTAGTGTAAAACCACGTTGACATTTAATTATTTCAGAGATAATGTTTAAAAACATGTTTGCCGTGAGACGGAAGCTATTATCAGTACAGTACAAAGTAGAACCACAACTAATTGTTAATACACCTCTGACAGTGTCGGTCAAAACTGAAGATCATCTTCATAAATTTATCTCCCTGCCATCGGATGCTATGAGAAGGTGCCGGTGTACCTAATGTTTTGACCAGTGCGTTGAAAAGATCATTGAAAAGATATGGGATGGAAGAATAAAACACATTGAAAAAGCACAAACAAAAGCCTCATGATTATCTTTCCTTCCGCTGCACATCTCTTACATAACGTCCCTGTTTATTACCTCCTTCCTGTTGGGAAGCCCGTCTTGTTTTTGTTTTTTTTTGGGGGGGAAGAGACATGCAATTAGTTTTAAGCTGTTCCTGATGTGCATAAGAGATGAAACTCGCAAACAGCGTGCAGCCGTCCCCGGCCGTTTGTGAGCTCTTCTAATGTAATGCACAACACTCACATTGAATAGATCGCAATGGTTGTCCATCATAAAAAGAACCATCAGGTCCACTTTGCCTTTGGAGAGTCTTCGGCTGTACACGATGGCGCTGGAGAATGACCTCTTCACTGCCATTCGGTTCTCGATCTGCGGGACACACAGGCGCAAAGAATGGTAACTATGCTCCTGAAATATATTTAAAAAAAGCAGATGGCATCATTCGGTGTCTTTTGGATGAGATCACGCATATCAAGACAATGCACAAGCTCATGAACATATGGCGAATATTTGAAATCAAAATTTGCAACCTTAAATCTACCACAAAGAGTGTCACAAAAGAGAGAAAAGGTGAGAGACATTGTTTAAATTTAGAAGTAGAGGCGATGATGTAATGTACGTACTGTACATACAGGTACGTGCATACACGGCCACACATCAACACGCACACACACTACTAATTATTACTACTACTACTCAATAGCGTGCAAATAGTTTGTCAAGTTTGTCATAATTATTTTGCCATCAAAAGTGCATTTTCATTGCTGCTGGTGGTATTTTATAGAAGAAAAGAACTGTTCAGATGTTTGAGTAGCCAATAAAGCAAAAAATACTGGCAGAACATTCACTCTTGTTGTTGTGCATAAAATATATTTTTCACCAAAAGTTGGTTTTCTGCCCTTTTCTGAAATGGGTGAAACCAACCCGAGTTCTATTGCTGATTAGTAAAAAAAAAAAAAAAAGGAATAAGGTAGAAAGAAACTTTTTTTTATGTTCAAAGAAAAGAATCTAATCTTTCATTTGGTAATTTTATCAAATAGATTCTTATAAGGATCTTATTTATTGTACTGTATGTTCAGTTGAAATAAAATGTCCTAAGTTACACATTTAATTCATTCTGTGAACACATTTGCTGTATTTTACAGGGGAAAAAAAATGTTTCAACTAAATAATAAATAATGATGCCCAGCCTAACAGCCACACTGGCTTCGCCTCGGAAACATAGCTATGTTACTGTAGGCACACACCTCTTTGTGGAGTTTGATGTCCTGTGCGTTAGCGGCAATGGCCATGAACCTGAGCAGCCGCCGCAGCTCCTCCCTGCATCGAGAGTCCTGCAGCTTCAGGCTGAGCTGCAGTGCCTCCAGAGCTTGCTCCAGTTTACCGTTTACTGAGGACACATGGCACACAAACGACGATGACACAAGGCAGAAGGAAG